TCTATCTATCTATCTATCTATCTATCTATCTATCTATCTATCTATCTCTTGGCCATACACAGTATGTATGTGTATATGTATATATGGGTATATGTATATATGTGTATGTGTATGTATATGTGTATGTATATATGTATGTGTATGTATATGTATATATGTATATGTGTATGTATATATGTATATGTGTATGTATGTATGTATGTATGTATATGTGTATGTATATGTGTATGTATATATGTATGTATGTATATGTGTATGTATATATGTATGTATATATGTGTATGTATATATGTATGTATATATGTGTGTATGTATATATGTATGTATGTATATATGTATGTATGTATATGTGTATGTATATATGTATGTATGTATATGTGTATGTATATATGTATGTACGCATGTATATGTGTATATATATGTGTATATATATGAGACTTTTGCTGACTCACTAAAAAACAATATCTATCCAAACCACAACAAAAAGCCAGTGAGTAGACAGTATTTATTCAGTTTGAAATAATTAGTGTATTTAGCAGAATATGAGTTTAAAGTATAATAAATGGTTGCAATTTGACTTTAAACCTTCAGCTGGGAAAGTATGCATTCAGATAGATATCCAAAAACGAAAAATAAAAAAAAATCTATAAACACAATTTTGCAGGTTTTAGTGGGTTTTTTCTCTCTCAAAAAAATCATGTTCAACACTGTTGCTGCTTTATGTTTTGTTGACTTTTAATTAAATCTATAATTGTAACCCCAATAACAAGCAGAATGTGCATTTTACATTTTAACAATACAACATATACAACCAAAGTTGTCCTGAAGAGTTCTCAGTAATGGATTATTTTGTTCATCATGTGAAATTGGAACTGAGCACACAGAAATCAAAACCAACACTCATTACTACAAAAAGAGAAATTCAGAAAGCTTGTAAGGATTTACCTTCAGCTGGGTTTATGAAAGGAAATTAAAAAACATTTGGTGAATAAATTAATTAAAAGCATTTTAAAACTATCTGGAACAGATGAATAAATGATACAATTAGTGTATATGTTCAGGAAAGGAATGCACTCATTTGGTTTTTGGAACTGATGAGGAAAATATATATATTTTTATAGCTGAAAAGAAAAATGCAGGTTAAAAAATGTGTTTAACTTTTTGCATCAAATCAGCTATATTCATTTCTGGAAACTTGTCTGATCATTTTCTGTCGAGAAATGTTTACTGGTACTTGATCTTGCAGCGAACTGGAAGTTTCATCACTCCAGTGATGGAAAAACACTCAACACACACTTACATAAAAGCTCAGTATTTTTGGTATTGTGATCCTACAGCAGGATAACTTTTAAACCCTGTTTTTTTATGCTAAATCAAGTACCATTGTAACACTATCTGTTCTTCACACAGTCTGAGGATGACTCAAAAGTTCTGAAGTTCACTGGCAGCAGGAACTTACTTTAATTTAATAAAACAAAAAAGGAGAAAATGTGACGTTTTTCCCCAATCTGTGGTCGTACCAGTGGATTTACCACAGCCATACTTTCTCTTCCTCTATTTCCTTTTTTTTTCTGTATGAAAAAGCTGGATTTTGGGAAAACCCTCGCCTCTCTCCTCCTCCTCCTCCAGCCGTCACATCCGGGTTAGTCAAATTGGTCGGAGCTCGATGTTGCCTTCGCTTAACGCTCGAAAACGTTAAAACATTTTTAAACTTTTTTTTCTTTTTGCGTCTTTCACGCTTCATAACCTATACCTTGATAATTTGAACAGTAAATATAACTAGTTACTTATGTTTTATGTGTAAATTTAAGTTCGATAAATATACAGATTGCCCCTTTTAAGCGGTTTTAGCTAAATGTTACACCAACCTTTAACAGGAATAATCACAGCTATGTGTAGATATAGACTTAAAAGTTCTTCTTGCGTGTTAGTAAAGTGTCACGACGTTTAAATTCCTTTAGTGGACGCACAACTTCCACATTGAGTCGCTACTTCACCGTGATAGTAATTATATCCGACGTTTTAGTCTGACAGTGAAAGCATCACAAGTTAGGCAGCTCGCAGTTAGAGCAGCAGCCTGATGAAGATCCGCCGCTCGCTGACATGGACACAAGTACAGTTCAGCGCTGAAACGCCGCGCAGTTTTCTGTTTTTTAAAAAAAAATTTAACAGCGACTAAAACTTCTCCCACGGCAGCACCCATGTAAACAGCCCCCTCTCTCTTCCAGTACTTCGAGCCATGTCCAGGAGCCTGAAGAAGAGGAAGAACCACTGGACCAACAAAGCCCACGAGAGTATCCTTTGCAGGAATGAGGAGGGGGAGCTGGGGCTGGAGCTGAAGGGCGGCGCGGAGAATGGACACTTCCCGGTGGTCGGCGAGCTTCTCCCGGGCAGAGCGGCGTGTCACAGCGGCAAACTCAGCCAGGATGAACTCCTGCTGGAAGTCAACGACACCCCCGTGGCGGGACTCACCACCAGGGACGTCCACGCTGTGGTCAAACACAGCAAAGACCCCGTCCGGCTCAAGTGTGTCAAACAAGGTGAGTTGTTTACATCAACTTTATTTCTCCTTAAACGGATTATAAACATCTTAAACGTGACTTTACTATTGTAGCACCTCCAAAACACTTGATTACATACACAAACCGGATTCCAAAAAAGTTGGGCCACTAAACAAATTGTGACTAAAAACTGAATGCAATGATGTGGAGATGGCAAATGTCAATATTTTATTCGTAATATAACATCGATGACGGATCAAAAGTTTAATCTGAGTAAATGTAACATTTTAAAGGAAAAATATGTTGATTCAAAATTTCACAGTGTCAACAAATCACAAAAAAGTTGGGACAAGTAGCAATAAGTGCTGGAAAAAGGAAATTGAGCATATAAAGAACAGCTGGAAGACCAATTAACACTAATTAGGTCAACTGACAACATGATTGGGAATAAAAAGAGCTTCTCAGAGTGTCAGTGTCTCTCAGAAGCCAAGATGGTAAGAGGATCACCAATTCCACCATTGTTGCACAGAAAGATAGTGCAGCAATACCAGAATGGTGTTACCCAGCGTAAAATAGCAAAGACTTTTAAGTTATCATCATCAACCGTGCATAACATCATCAAAAGATTCAGAGAATCTGGAACAATCGCTGTGCGTAAGGGTCAAGGTCGTAAAACTCTACTGGATGCTCGTGATCTCCGGGCCCTTAAACGTCACTGCACCTCGAACAGGAATGCCACTGTTAAGGAAATAACAGAATGGGCTCAGGAATACTTCCAGAAAGCATTGTCAGTGAACACAATCCACCGTGCCATCCACCGTTGCCAGCTGAAACTCTACAGTGCAAAGAGGAAGCCATTTCTAAGCAAGCTCCACAAGCTCAGACGTTTGCACTGGGCCAGGGGTCATTTAAAATGGAGTGTGGCAAAATGGAAGACTGTTCTGTGGTCAGATTAGTCACGATTTGAAGTACTTTATGGAACACTGGGACGCCATGTCATCCGGACCAGAGAGGACAAGGATAGCCCAAGTTGTTATCAACACTCCGTTCAGAAGCCTGCATCACTGCTGGTATGGGGTGGCATGAGCGCTTGTGGCATGGGCAGCTTGCATGTCTGGAAAGGCACCATTAATGCAGAGAACTATGTTCAGGTTCTAGAACAACATATGCTCCCATCTAGACGTCATCTCTTTCAGGGAAGACCCTGCATTTTTCAACACGATAATGCCAGACCACATTCTGCAGCAATCACAACATCATGACTACGTAGGAGAAGGATCCAGGTACTGAAATGGCCAGCCTGCAGTCCAGATCTTTCACCTATAGAGAACATTTGGCGCATCATAAAGAGGTAGGTGCGACAAAGAAGGCCCAAGACGATTGAACAGTTAGAGGCCTGTATTAGACATGAATGGGAGAGCATTCCTATTTCTAAACTTGAGAAACTGGTCTCCTCTGTCCCCAGACGTCTGTTGAGTGTTGTAAGAAGAAGGGGGGATGCCACACAGTGGTAAAAATGGACTTGTCACAACTTTTTTGGGATTTGTTGACGCCATGAAATTTGGAAACAACAGATTTTTCCCATAAAATGATACATTCTCTAGTTTAAACTTTTGTGATTTGTGTTCTATTCTGAATAAAATATTAGATGTTGGCACCTCCACATCATTGCATTCAGTTTTTGTTCACAATTTGTTTAGTGTCCCAACTTTTTTGGAATCCGGTTTGTAATTTAAAGCTGCAAAAGAAGTGTGTTTTAAACTTATTCTGTTTTATGGGGTGCTGTGGATGGATTTGTCAAAGCCAAACACTCATTGAGCTGAATTTAATTGATTTATATAATATAATTCACAACAAAAGTCATGTCAGGACACTACAAAACATTCACACATTATAAAATGCCAATTAGTAAATATTATTTACACAAGGAAGCCAATCTAATCTTCACTTTGTTGCTGTCTCCTATACTGAGAAACACATAGGCGACTGTGGGAAGGAAGAACTCCATTTTAACAAGAAAAAAACACTTTTTTTTTGTCTTTACTGAGAGAATAGAAAACAATACAATAAAATGCAGTATAGCCGCCAGGGGGTTACAAACATCGAGACAATACTTTACAATACGACAGCACGTAAGGTGCAAGTTTTAATGGCCTTCGTATTGGTGGTATATTTACTTGTTTTGATATATTGTTTGACCTCATTTTCAAAACTGGAGATAAATCGTTTTTGATTAGCGCGACGACATTTGCGAATATGCCATTTGACGAGGTATAGGATAATTAATAATATAGAACTGTTTTTTTTTTTTTTAGCTGTTTGGTAGTGAAGCCAAACAAAACATGTTCGAAGCAAAGTGAGAGATCTGGTTTAGTAAAAGTAGAAATCAAAATACAATTTTCCAAAATTGAGAGTCGAGAAGGGGCAAGACCAAAATAAATGAAAGACACCTTCTGAGTTTTCATCACAAAAAGAGCAAATTATATTTATATACTTGTTAAACAGTTGTAAATAAATATTGGATGGGTAAAATCTCCATCCATCCATTATCTTTACCCGTTAATTCCATTTTTGGGTCACGGGGTCGCTGGTGCCCATGTCCAGCAATCACTGTGCGAGGGGCGGGGTACACCCTGGACGGGTCGCAAGTCCATCACAGGGCCACATAGAGACAAACGAGACAAACAACCATTCACTCTCTCACTCACACCTAGGGACAATTTAGAGTTACCAATCAGCCTAACATGCATGTTTTTGGTCTGTGGGAGGAAACCGGAGTACCCGGAGAAAACCCACGCATGCACGGAGAGAACATGCAAACTCCACCCAGAAAGGCCCCTGGACCGGGGTTTGAACCAAGGACCTGCTCGCTGAGAGGCAGCATCTCTACCAGTTGCGCCACCGTGCTGCCCTGGGTAAAATCTATGAATATATATATTTTTTCCTTCCAAATTTGAGGCGCTAGTGACCTATTTTTGTTGAGGAGAATGGGGGCAAAACGGGGTGAGAGAGAGGGGGAGACCTTGCGGAAGGGTCGTCAGGACCGGGACTCGTACTCGCGACCGCCGCTACGAGGATTAGCCTTGAACATGGACTGCGCTCTTAACCCCTGTGCCATAGCCGCATCCCAATCTATGAATAATTTTAAATGATACTTCTCTTACTTTATTATTTATCATGTATCTGCTTGGTAAAGTCCAAATCCTTTTCCAATCAAGGTTATTAATAAAGGTGTTCCGATAAGGTACCACGTATGGAACGGACGGAACCACCTGCAGAACTGGGCTCAGGATGGGTGGTTATCTAAAGTGCAATGTGTTGTCATCATTGAATGTTTCTATACAATGATGAAATTAGTTCTCTGCACATGTGAGATACACCCAGGTGGAGCAGTGGGCAGATATGGAAGCACACGGGGTGCAGGTAGGGCCTTGCTCATGTAGATGAACAGATGCTGGGATGTATTCATCATTTAACGCGGATTCCTCATTTTTCTGGACTGAATAAAACGTGCATTGAATTTAAGGAAATGCAAACGTGAGACGTCATTTAAATTTGACCCATCAAAATGAATGCGGTCATTTATTTACAGAATCAAATTTAACATCAAACATTTACATTAATTTGGCAAATTATGAAAATAACAACATAAGCAATCAATCAGGAAAAATCATACGGCCATGATTTTACCGTTGCTGCACCACAGACATTTATAAAACTGTACAACTATGATCTTTTACCCACACGGATGTGAATAAGCACTTTACACAGACATTTCTAAATATCTGGGAGAATTTCTACTTCATAGGAAAGTTTAAAGATGGAAAGAAGTTTAGAGGGAGTAAAGGATGGTGTGTGAGGGAAATTAAGTGTTTTCCAGAACCGACACTCTCCATCAGAAGCCCAGCTCGCCTCGGTACGCTTGGTAGGAAACTTGACCCATTACCTCTCTGATGATAATCAGCAGATATGGTGTTCCGTTAACGCTACCGGTCCAGCGTCTCCTTAGAATGGCTGTTGCCCGTCAGAAGTAGTGGCGAGGCTCTGTTCGACACACATTCACCTCAGTGGAAAATGTTATAATCCCATGGAACTCGGAAGAGCTTCGTTGTCATGTCAGGAACTCCAACAGCACTCCATCAGAACTTTAGCTCTCGTGTAGTTTACAGAACTCCCACAGAACTCTTGAAGTCTGACAACTCTCCAACTCTGTAACTCCGTGAGTCTGTGTAGACCAGGAAGTACTGACATTTTAAAGGCTCTTTCCCGGTTCACTTTTTGGGATTTTTCATTGGTCAGAAACGACCAGAAGGGGTGTGTTTTTGTGACGTAAGGGGTTAGAGACGGCGAGAATTGTTATGAGACAGCTCAGAAATGTTCTCACAGACCGAGAGGGTTCTGTTTTGGCGTGCCTAAGACACCGGTGCAAAACATCTCTATTTACGTCTGAGAGGATTCTAAAACATGACAGTTTTAACATAACAACTTGTTTTTCGTTTGACTGTAACCTTGTAAACGCACACACTTGCTCATTCAAAAGCAGAAATCAGAAAAATGCATAA